GCCAAGCCTGGGACAGATCCGCTAGTGTGGGAGGGTGACTATACTTCCACTGCAGTTCCTATCATCTCCTTTCTTCGTGCTAAGAGAATGGTTAGTAAGGTTTGTTTCGATTTTTTGGCACATCTTAGTGATGATACTTCCCAAGTACCTTCGATTGAGTCTGTCTCGATAGTCCGTGAGTTTCTGGATGTGTTTCCCGTAGACCTTCCTGGTATGCCACCGGATAGTGATATTGATTTTTGTATTGATGTAGAGCCGAGTAATCGCCCCATTTCCATACCCCCTTATAGAATGGCTCCAGCAGAGTTAAGGGAGTTAAAGGCCCAACTTCAGGAGTTGTTAGGTAAAGGTTTTATTAGGACAAGTGCATCCCCTTGGGGTTCTCCTGTTTTATTTGTGAAGAAGAAGGATGGAAGTTTTCGGATGTGCATAGACTACAGGCAACTGAATAAGGTAACTATTAAGAACAAGTATCCTATTCCTCGCATAGATGATTTGTTCGATCAGTTACAAGGTGCTTGTACCTTCTCAAAAATCGATTTGAGATCTGGTTATCATCAATTGAAAATACAGGCAGCAGATGTGCCAAAGACTGCTTTTCGAACCAGGTATGGGCATTATTCATTCTTAGTAATGTCTTTTGGGCTTATGAATGCCCCTGCTGCTTTCATGATCCTGATGAATGGGATTTTTAAGCCATATCTGGATCTCTTTTTCATTGTATTCATTGATGATATACTAATATACTCAAAGAGCAGGAAAGAACATGAGGAGCATTTGAGAATTGTATTGGAAGTATTGAGGGAGAAAAGGCTTTATGCCAAATTCTCCAAGTGTGAGTTTTGGCTAGATTCAGTGTCATTCTTGGGGAACGTAGTTTCTAAGGATGGAGTGATGGTGGATCCTTCTAAGATTGAAGCAGTGAAGAGTTGGGTAAGACTTACTAATGTTACAGAGGTAAGGAGCTTTGTTGGTTTAGCTAGCTACTACCGTCGATTTGTCAAGGGATTTTCTTCTGTTTCTTCCCAATTGACAAATTTGACTAAAAAAATTTTCCATTTGTATGGTCGGACGAATGTGAAGAAAGGTTCCAGAACCTCAAGACCTTGTTGACTACTGCACCAATTCTTACCTTGCCAGTGGAAGGTAAGAATTTCATTGTTTATTGTGATGCATCTTATTCTGGTTTGGGTGCAGTGCTAATGCAGGAGAGGAATGTAATTGCTTATGCATCGAGGCAATTAAAGGTGCATGAACGTAACTATCTGACCCATGATTTGGAGTTGGCTGCAGTTGTGTTTGCATTAAAGCAATGGAGACATTATCTATACGGGGTCAAGTGTGAAGTCTATACAGATCATCGTAGTTTACAGTATGTCTTTACTCAGAAAGATTTGAATTTGAGGCAAAGGAGGTGGATGGAACTACTAAAGGACTATGATATTACTATCTTATATCACCCAGGAAAAGCTAATGTTGTGGCAGATGCTTTAAGTAGAAAAGTAGAGAGCATGGGAAGTCTAGCCTACCTACAGGTTTCTAGACGCCCATTGGCTAGAGAGGTTCAGACTTTGGCTAATGACCTCATGAGGCTAGAAGTACTAGAGAAAGGAGGATTTTTGTCCTGTGTGGAGGCAAGATCTTCTTTTCTTGACAAGATTAAGGGAAGGCAGTTTGCTGATGAGAAGCTGAGTCGAATTCGGGAGATGGTATTACGAGGAGAGGCTAAAGAGGCAATAATTGATGAGGAAGACGTTTTGAGAATTAAGGGGAGGGTATGTGTGCCCCGTGTTGATGATTTGATTCACACTATTCTTACAGAGGCTCATAGTTCAAGGTATTCTATACATCTTGGTGCAACCAACATGTATCGTGACCTAAAGCAACATTTTTGGTGGAGTAGGATGAAGCGTGACATTGCTGATTTTGTTTCCCAATGCCCGAATTATCAGCATGTAAAGTATGAATACCAGAGGCCCGGAGGAACACTTCAGAAAATGCCCATTACTGAATGGAAATGGGAAAGAATTGCAATGGATTTTGTGGTTGGTCTTCCAAAGACATTGGGTAAGTTTGATTCTATTTGGGTAATTGTTGACAGATTAACTAAGTCTGCTCACTTCATTCCGGTTAAGGTGACTTACAATGCAGAGAAGTTAGCCAAACTCTATATCTCAGAAATTGTTCGATTGCATGGAGTTCCACATTCCATCATATCAAATAGAGGTACGCAATTTACTTCTAAGTTTTGGAGAACATTGCATGCTGAATTAGGTACTAGGTTGGATCTTAGTACTACATTTCACCCTCAGACCGATGGTCAGTCTGAGCGAACGTTTGAGGTTTTGGAGGATATGCTTCGTGCATGTGTGATAGAATTTGGTGGTCATTTGGATAACTTCTTACCCTTAGCAGAGTTTTCATACAATAATAGCTATCACTCAAGTATTTATATGGCCCCATTTGAGGCATTGTATGGGAGGAGATGTAGGTCTCCCATTGGTTGGTTTGATGCATTTGAGGTGAGACCATGGGGTACCGATCTTTTGAGGGAATCGTTAGATAAAGTAAAATTCATTCAGGAGAAGCTTCTAACAGCTCAGAACATGCAGAAAGAATATGCAGATCGAATGGTTAGGGACTTGGATTTTATGGAGGGTGAACAAGTCTTGCTGAAGGTTTCACCCATGAAAGGGGTGATACGGTTTGGTAAGCGAGGTAAGCTTAGTCCAAGGTATATTGGTCCATTTGAAGTTCTGAAGCGCGTGGGGAGGTGGCTTATGAATTGGCATTGCCTCCAGGACTCTCAGGAGTGCACCCGGTATTTCATGTGTCTTTGCTGAAAAAATACCATGGGGATGAAAACTACATTATTCGTTGGGATTCAGTTCTTCTTGATGAGAATTTGTCTTATGAGGAGAAGCCTGTTGCTATTTTAGATAGAGAAGTCCGCAAGTTGAGATCAAAGGAGATTGCATCCATCAAGGTTCAGTGGAAGAATCGACCAGTTGAAGAGTCCACTTGGGAGAATGAGGCTGATATGCAAGAAAGATATCCACATCTTTTTACAGATTCAGGTACTCTTTCTCGCCCTTGTTTTTCTTCTTGTGATCTATTCGAGGACGAACGATGGGTAAATTGGTATCTATTGTAACAACCTGTTTAGTCAGTTCGAGCAGTAGAATTATTTTGATAAAAACTGGTTGAGTCGACGGATCACGCGACGGACCGTCATGTCCACGACGGACCGTGATGGACTCCGTCGTCCCATACTTGTGTAATTTCTTCTGCTGCTCTCCTCATTACCCTCAACGACAGGTAGGACAAACCGTCATAGGCACAACGGTCCATCGAGCGTCTTCGTTCCAAAACACTTCAACTCTGAAATCTGGGTACTAAGATCGACTCTCTGAACTTCACGATGGAACTGCAGCATGGACCGTCGTAGATACCACGGACCGTCACAAACCTCTTTACTGAATTTAACTCTCTGAACTTTGTGACGGACCTGCAGGACGGATCGTCATAGACACGACGGACCATCACAAGTTGCGTAACTCCGACTTGGTCAGACTTTCGCTAAAAGTTTTAAAGGGGTGTTTCGGACTATTCATGATTATAATCATGAAATTAGTGGGGTAAGTTTAATAATTTATTTAGTTGGGGGTTAAAGGAGATAACTTTAAAATAAATAGTGGGTTACTTTTATCACCTTTTATAATTGATTATATGATTATTAGGGTAAAAAGAATCTGAAAGGGAAAAAGAAAAAGAACAGAAAGGGGAACGAACGAGCGAGAGAGAAAGAACGAAGAGGAAAGCAAAAAGGCATTGGGGAAGTGGCTTGCTTGATCACAATTCTTCGGTGGAGGTAGGTTATGGTTTATTTCTATTTGATAGATAAACTCTAAATAGCGATTGATATGTATTGAGTGATATTGTCATGTCTCCTATGTACTTGATGGTGTGGTTGTATGTTTTGATTGTGTGGTTTGTGGTTGGCCTAAAATTATGAAACTGCTGAATCTTCAATCTTAAATCCTCTCTATTAAGATGACGTCTTGACATAAAGAAGGCTTGATGAACTAAAACAATGAGATAAATGGAGCAGAGTGTCACATTCCGACACGTAGTATTAGGGGATCGGAGTGTCACGTTCTGACACGTAGTATTAGGGGATCAGAGTGTCACGTTCCGACACGTAGAATTAGGGGATCGGAGTGTCACGTTCCGACACAGTAGTAATAATGGATCGGGTGTCACGTTCTGACACGGTAGTATTAGGGGATCGGAGTGTCACGTACCGACACGATAATAATAAAGAGAAGTAATCTTGAATTATGTTAATATACTCAAATTCGAAGAACCTATTTCCCAAATGAGTATGGTGTGGAGGCTTAAGTCCTCCTAGGTGTGCTTGGTGTTGTTGCCAATGGTTCTCATACTTGTTGTTGTCACCTGCTAAGTATTGTAGTTGATTTTATATTATTATTCAGTATACATTGCTTTCTATTTTGAGTTGGCCGATGATACCTACTCAGTACGTGTTCCTTGTACTGACCCCTACTTGTAATTTTCTTCTTTGTTATTTGTGGAATGCAGCAAGCGTGCCATCGACCTCAACTCGCCCTCAACTCTAGCCAATCTTCAGCATATCAGATTTCATGGTGAGCTATTGTTCCTAGCTCGGACTGGATTCTCTCATTCACGTCTTGATGTCCTTGAAGTTCGGACATGGACCATCTGCTTACTTATTTTAGCTTCTTAAATACTCTTAGATTTAGAAATTTGAGGATAGATGTTCTTGGTGTGATGACTTCCAGATTTTGGGGATAATAATTGATAAACTTTAGAAGCTTATTTATTGGTTATATTAATAAGTTTTGGGTCTTCCGTATTATATTTTGTTCATTCGGTGGAAATATTGGTAAATGTTGGGGTTTAGATTTGTTGGTTCGCTCACATAGGAGGATAAGTGCGGGTGCCACTCGCGGCTCGTTTTGGGTCGTGACAGGATTAAAGTTCTAAACATATGCATAAAAAGTAAAAATTACATCATAGGTATAGTATAATTTTTTGCCAATGAGGGCCGGGTTGAAAACCTGATGCCGCCGACTAAATTTGCTTGTGCCTTCCAATTGTCACACCATTTAATTATTACTCCATTCTCCATCTTAGAAAACAGTCGAGAATTAGAAGAGGCCAATTTATCTATTACATTGAACACCTATATTAAAACAACAATAGGTTACAATTAGCAATCAGTCAACATCATAACTCACTATTTCATCGATTACAAGTAAAAATGCCAAACAAGTTTCACTTTCAAGTGTCACTAATGCATTAAAAATAACAGTAATCTTTAAGTATTGCAGAATACAAATTATGATACATGCTATTCAAACCAAGTCATCCATCCAATCAACATCTTATTCTAGATTTTAAACCGACATTCAACTCATTAAGTCAATCGAACTTATCTTGATGCTCCATTTCGACCATATTTCTTGCACATGAATTCATTTGAAATATGTTATCTCCAAAGTTCTAGCACTGAAATGAGTTGAGTTACAATTTTTTTTATAAAAATTCACGAGCATTTCTTGCTACTTTTATAACATTAACCCATCCCTCAAAGAAAGTTAAGAGTTGAGTTCAGATCTATCAGTGTCAAGTATGCGTCTTCATATTTACAAAGGAAATGAATGAACTTGTTTGAGTTGTCTTCGCAATTAAGCTCTGCTTAGAACCAAATTTAGAAACTCTTATTGCTGACGAACTTTATTTAATGAAGATATTGTTCAGAACCAGATTTACAATTTCTCCTACATTTATTAGCTCATTGCTACCCATATTTGTGTGATCATCTCATACTTGAATCACCTCACCTCACAATTCATATCTATTTCTACCATTAAGTTCCATACAACGAACATGATTAAATTCAATGGCATGAGTATGAAGGTGTCGCTTTTCAACTTTCAAAGTAAACTTTGTAAGTTAAAATTGATGATCAGACATATCCTATCCTTCATTGTGGCATATTCCATCATTTTGACGAGTCAAATTCGAATCTAGGTTCATAATTTAGCATTATTATAATTATCAAAGAGATTATCCTTAGAACGTTTAGTGAAGCCTCTTTTCAAGAAATTTCATTATCTTCTATTGTTGAAAAAATCCTCCATATGATAATTAACTTTGAGTTTTATAAAAGTTATAACTTGTCTTTCGAATAACTACCATATATAATAAATGTAAGATGAAGTGCTTTACCTCACCATACCAAATGTCAATGGTATACTCATGTTGGAGCTAGCACAAAATAAGCATTATTATCCACGTTTAAATCATTTGCACCTCCCTATCCTATGTATTTGATTTTTATGATACTTTGTCATGTCCCTTGAATCGTGTGTTTAAAATCATCTTTTCCTAGAAAGGAGTTGCAATTGAAATAGCTGAGGCTGTTACTGGTGCTCTAAATGGGGAACTTTCTGCTACTACTTAGAATGCTTTGATGGTTCCTCCTAAGGCAAGCTATAGCACTATGTACTTATTTTCTCTTTTAGGTTTCCACACATACGAAGGAAAGAGATAATGAAATTCCTGCTTTTGTAATCAAGTTTTGCCCGAGTTGGCTCCTTATGTTGTGCTTGCTGAAAAACTTAGTAGATTAAGGTTCATAATTTAGCATTATTATAATTATCAATGAGATTTTCTTTAGGAAGTTTAGTGACCAATTTTCAAGAAATTTCACTATCTTCTTTTCTTGAAAGAAACCTTTTATGTTAATCAACTTTGAATTTTATAAAGGTTAATTACAACTTGCCGTTCAAACAACTACCATATAAAATAAATGCAATTTGTACCAAAATTAGTGAAAAAGATGAACATAATTACCTCATCATACCACAATTTTAAAACCTTATACAATCTTTTGTTTATAAGTAAGAATTTGCAGTCAAAGTCTTTGTTGGGACTTTCAGTTGCATTTTATTAAATGTTTGAAAAGATCAACATTTCTTTTACGATAATTGAAATGACCTCCCATGTTTCATCAATAATCTATTAAAGTTCAATGATGTTAATGAAATTAGTGGATTTTATATGTAGTCTAACCTGTTTTTTTTCTAAAGGTTGCTTAAGCATGTATATTACGCTAAGGAAAAGACGCAATAAGAAATTGAATAGAACTATCGAAGCATCACATATAACATATAAAAGTGAATTGTGATAAAATAATACATGTTATGAACAATAAATTATATTTTTCCATAGTTGTTGTAGCCTAGGAGTGTCCTTGTATATTGCACTAAGAAGTTCTTATCTCCGTATCCAAATCTCCACAACCCCACTTTTACTTGTTGACAACTATCTTGTCTTTCATTAGATACTCTTATTCATAAGAAGAGTAATAGTTTCTCAAATTCATCGTTTAGTAAAATTTGTCTAATGCTAAACGCAAAGAAAGTAAATTCTACATTGAAATATCACCATCCCTCACGTCTTATATTTCAATCATTGGTGCACCAAATTATTAACTTGTGTTATTAAACTTATGCATCTTTGTTCTTTCTATAATATCCTGCTTACCACCATTCAATTAGCGCTGCTTCTTATATCATCAACATTATTTCAGGGGGCACTCGACTTAGTCCCTTAGTCCAATTACGATATATTGTAATAAAGGTATACCTCAAGTGTTAATTATTATGTATCCTAAAATTCAAAGAAATTCACGTAGTATACTATTCTCTAAAGGATCAATATGTAATTATAAATAAAGATTGCAATTGCATACAAAAGTTTTGACTTTGACCATGAAATTGAGAATATATAAGACAAAACAATAATGACATCAACTTTAGACATGAAAAGAACAGGGAGAAATTTGAAATAAAAAGCTAGATACGAGTAATTTTAAAATAAAAGGAAGTGAACTTATAGGATGAATAGAGAGACTATAAATATTTGCATAATGTTTTACAACACCCTTGACCAATTGAAGAATAGCAATGTGATTAAATCTCTATTTTCTTACAAAAATGTTCTATTAGCAATTATACTTATGAGCTACTTGCATCCTACTTCTTACATATGTTACTGTCCGGGGATATTCGAGCAACATATGATAAACTGAATTTACTTTTGAAAAACGATGTAACATAATGAAAAGAGGAAATTAAATATCTTACTTGTTCTGAGTCGAATGAATGTCGATCCACATCTTATTATTTAAAAAAGCAGTACAAAATATCCTGAAGAATATGACGAAGAATAGTAAATTAATTTCTTTGAAATGCAACAGATTAACCTAAAAGAACAAAATATACGTAAGTTTTTGATGAATAGAAAAGAATTAGGAATTGTCGAAGAACTTACCCAAATTAAATGAATTAGAAGAGTAGAACAAGGTCGAAACGAAAAATTGGTAAGAAATTATCGGAAAGAATAGGAAGCGTTAAAATATTATTTAAAGCCTGAATGGAAATTTCTAAAGAAAATAGTTTGGCATTTATATTTAATAGTTTTGCCACGTGGAAAGAACTTTGGGACAAGTATAATTATAACAAAAATTAAATTAAAAATTATTATGTAAATATCATCACATTATATCTCGAAATCCATCGATTCTGGTTCTTCATCTTTCTTTTTTCACACTCCTACTGTTGGTAAAGGAGATCCACTTGTCCTATTTTTTTGATTGAAAACCTTTGTGGCATTTTTAGCTCATTATTGATGTTTTCTTCTTTGCATCTAATTTTACTTTCTTGATAAAATATCAATGTAAGATTAGATTTCTAAAACAAACGGTTAACAAGGTATGAAAAATTATGTGGATTAGTGTAGATGGAACTTTTTTATGATACAAGTCCACTCACTTTCCCTGAAACTCCAAACAATTCCTTCTTTCTCTTATATTCCTATCCCTCTATCTCTAACTATATTGTTTCCTCCAAAATTATAAAAATGTTTGTCCATTTATTGTTTTCTATAAAATATTTTCATCAAATTTACACCCTTCATTATATCTGGGAACAAAACTACATAGTAATTGAAAGAGAGAACCCAAAATTCTAAGAAATTGGGCGATTGATTTATATTAATTATAACTACAGTGTGATTTTTCGAATTGAGGGACATGTTCATATGGTCTTCAACAACAATCTTAATATGACTGAAGAAGAAAACATTGAGAAACTTAAAAGAAAAAACATATCTTGTATAACTATAGAAAATAAAATTTATGAAAGAAAAGTCATACCTTGTATTACTGAAAATGGAAAAGATCTTTTTAATTTGTTCTTTTTTTGGTCAAGAAAAGAGAAGAGATTCTTGATGATTAGGAATGGAAAAAAAAGGTCCACGTCCTTCTAGAAATCCATTCTAATAGCTACGGCATATATATATATATATATATATATATATATATATATATATATATATATATATATATATAT